TATTCAGGGTCTGCTGAGGGACTGGGTCTATAATGTATTCAATCAAGTATTAATATATTCAGGATCTGCTGAGGGACTGGGTCTACAATGTATTCTATTAAGTATTAATATATTCAGAGTCTGCTGAGGGACTGGGTCTATAATGTATTCAATGAAGTATTAATATATTCAGGGTCTGCTAAGGGACTGGGTCTATAAAGTATTCTATTAAGTATTAATATATTCAGAGTTTGCTAAGGGACTGGGTCTATAATTGATATTAATTTATTCAATCAATCTCAAGGGAACAGGGATTATTATTTTACGCTGTATCATAATGATATCCCATCACATTTTTTATGGCAAAAATATTAATGAAGTGCCAAAATATTGACCGTTTGTTGTTCTGCTACAAAATGGCGAATTTCTGAATTAGGGTCCCCTTCAGATATTCCTGGCTACGCCCTCCTGTGTTAAACTCTTGGTATTAAACATTTCCCATTTGTTGATTCTTTAGTTGATATAGTTTTTCTGTTGTAGGTTTTGATGAAACATTTTTACTGTTTAAATTTTATATGAAACTGAGGTCTTTTTTTGCTGGTGCAAAAAYGTATTAAATTACAATCCTATGATAGAACCTTGTACATCAGTCTAGCCGAACATCATTGAACTCAAGATTAGGTCACCTAGAAATGATTCAATTTCTAGTCTTCCCAGGTTAATAATCTACTGGTATGGAAGTCTGAATGGTGTCTTATGCAAGACTATTGAGCACACTACCCTAAAGTTATCACTGTTGTACACACCCATGAATAGTGAGGTATGATTATTTCTACTCTGCTTGCACTTACCTTTGCAGTGACTAGCATTTATGCAATCAGTGCACTACCATAAAATCTGCAAAGAGCCATCACCCGGTAAACTTACCCACAACATTCAGCAAGAGAACAGCCAACCGATAAATGGCAACAAGGTTAGACTCTGTCAGGTTAATCGGTAATTTTTTTGCACTGTCTGACGATGATACCTAGCCTGGTAGGGCAACTTCGGTTAGCACTGATAGGGCCTTGTGGGATCACTCTTCGTCTGGCCCCTACCCTTCGACCTGTCCGGCATGGGTGACCCTAACAGGAGTACATGACTCCCGCCGGCATAGCTCTAGGGGTCATTGGGACATGCAAACCGCCTCACCACGATAAGGTGGTGATCCCATCGAGACGGGTTAGGACCTAGTGCAAGGTATCAAGTGTATAGAGTGTGTACAACCATGTGACTCAAAATCCCTTGAGATGTGGATAGCAATGAAACAGCTGCCATCTTGGCTGATCTAACGAGAAGCTAATGAGGAATGCTTTGTGATCATCAACCAAGATGGCGGAGATGATGTAACATGCACCTGCTCTATTTCATTTTTCTGGTGTATGAAAATTAAATAGTAAAAAATCTTAAAATAGCAGCCAATCTCATAATTAATTTCTTTAAAATCAAAATAAATAAAACTGGAATAAACGGAATTAAAAAAAAAACATTTTATGTGTGATCTTTTCTGAATCATTTATAAGTCTTGGGTTTTGAATAAAAAATACTTATACCTTTTTAACTGAAAATAGTTTTGAATGAAGATATTTTCAATGAAATTATTGTAAACCATAAAGAAAACATTCCAACAAAAACATTCGTGAAATAATCTTATTTGCAGGACTCAAGACAGCAGCAAAAAATGCAATTCCAATTTCCTGATTGCAAGTAAGATAAAATAATTGTCAATTATGATATTGAGAATAATATGTCAATGGAAATTTTAAGCCAAAAATCACTTGTCATGAAACAGTCAAGGGCATCAGTGATCACTCTTTAGTATTCATGACGAGAAAAATTCATTACGAGCCGTCAAAGGCTCGCAAAATTGAGGTACGTAACTTCAGAAATTTCGATCAAGACAAATTTTTGAGTGATCTCAAACAACTGCCATGGTCAGACATCAAGTCTTACGATGATCCGAATGATATGTG